TTTTTTTTTGGTAATGGTTAAATTAAGAAATTTAACAATGTTGCTGCTGTATTTAAAGTTATGGTATTGGTACCTCTCAATTTATATTCACCACAATAACAGTACAGACTGACTTCTCAGTGTGTGTACCTACGTAGCATGTTTTTAATAGAATGTTATTCATATTTATATGAAAAAAATATTAGAACAGTTATGCCTGAGTTTACTTGTTGTCATGAAAACTTTTCTGCTGAGAGATTTATATGACCAGGGGAAAGAACATGGAATTTAAGCTATGATAAAATATTTCCTTGTCTCTATCATAAACAAGAAAATTGTATAGTGAAATCTATGATGGTATTAGCTGATAAAACAAATGACTCGCACATTTACTGCTCAACAGTCACAATCCTCTCCAAATAATTCAACAACAAGCAATAAAATACAGAATTTAAGGTACGATAAAAAAAAATTCCTTCCTTCCTCAATATTATACACTAAAAAATTGTACAGTAAGGTATGTTATGAAGTCAGCCAATTCAAGTAAGTTTTATCAGTTGGATGAACAGACAACCCACAGCTGTCTACCATGTACTAAATTACAACCATTTTCAGAACCTCCTACACATGTATGATTTATCATCTCTCTCCAGGCATGGAGCAAGTTTTTTTTTTTTTTTTTTTTTTTTTTTTTTTTTTTTGGTACACTGTTTGTAATGGAAAACACGAGAACAGAAATGGAAAACCAGAGACCAAATATATGGGACATTATTATTGTTGTTGTTATTATTGAGGTGCCACCAGGAAGTCCGTGGATAGAGGGAAGTACTGATGGTAGAGTTTAAACACATGAACAAAGGAAAGGGGAGGGAGGAGGAAAAAAAATTATCTTGGAACAGAGATGGAGGATAAGATGAAGAGAGTATTGGAAGCTTGCATGGTACAAGAGAAAAAGGCTGTTGCCAAAGAGAAGATAAAGGAGATAAAGGGAAGGTGTGAGGTGGAAATAGTGCCACGTACAAGAGTAGAGCAAGTAGCAAGGGCTGAGGGGACAAGCAATATTTTTGCAGAAATACTCAGGAAACAGGAAGATGAAGGATATGATATGGAAGCAGGAAAGTAATAACAGAAGACAATGAATTCAGGAGAGAAAGGAGATGGGAGGAGATAAGGGTGTCACTAATTATCCATTGTCTCCAGGAGGCTGAAGGGACAATAACTAACGAGATATTGGCAGCAGATGAAAGGGAGATTCATAACATCATTAAACAGAGGTGCTGAGGAGGCAAATTTTCAGAGGATAAGAAAGTAAGAGACAATGTGTGACTGGTCAAACTACCCCTGGCAACAGAAATGGCATGAGATTGGATCTTAAGAAATTGCTATAGAGTGGGACTTTTAGATATCATGGTGTGTGCCCTGACCATGATGGAACATCACAGAAGAGAAAACTGAGGGAGAGAATAAGAAACAGTAGAATACAGGATGGAGAACCAGTGAATGCAATGACAGGAACAGAGCTCCACCTCCAGGTTGACACCATGCTCAGCACCACCAGGTGCAAGCCCTATCTGAAGGCTAACATGAAGTTCCAACAACAATAGTCCCTCAATCCCTCCCCTTCCCTCTCCACTCAGGCACTAACTCTTAAAAAAAGAAAACATTCCCTGCCTCCCAATCCTCCCTCACCTACTCCCCCAATCCTAACCCCTGCTGGTTCAGGATCCCTTCTCAAACCCCACCCTCATCCCAGTCCATCCACCCTCATATTATACTACCCATAGTCCCAACCCACCAGTGTAAGAGCCACCACCACTACCTCCACCCTTCCATACAACCACTCCCTGACACAAACAAGAACTAGAACAGGGCCTATGAAACGAACACAGTAATGATGAGAAAATTGAAAGTGTATGCTAATGAATGGAATAAATAAAAGTGATGAATGGAAAAAGTGAATAGTGGAGACTTCCCCAGACTGTAGCAAAACCAGAATAAGCTCATGGAGGTGATTACAGATGTAGTTTTCCCAGAATATCAAATAAATGTAAAAAGAAAGGACAGAAGAAACAGAGCAGGTGGAAGAGTAGCACTGCTAATCAAGAACCAGTGGAGTTTTGAGGCAATGAATGGAATAAACTGAGAAGGGTTTGAATGACTATGTAATAGATACACTCAGAATCTGGGAACCCAAGGTAACAATAGCAATGATGTGCAACCCACCCCTCAACAGAAGACCAGGACAGGAATACGAGGACAGCAACAAGACAATGATAGACATAATAGTAGAGGTAGCTAGAAGAGCCCGCACAGGCAATGCAAAACTACTGATCATGGGAGGCTTCAACCATAAGGAAACAAATTTGAAAAGTCTGGAACCATATGGAGGACTGTAAACATGAAGAGCTCAGTTGCTGGAGGTGATGGAAAACTCCACGTATCAACACGTCAGGGACACTAGAGGGACGAACCAGTGAGGCTGGACCTTGAATTCACCCTAAGTGACTAGTGTAGTGAACATCGAATTTGATAGGCCCCTTGCTGCTAGTGACCATGCAGTGCTGAGGTTCGAATACCTTATGGAACTGAACATAGAAAGTAAAGGACAAACCTGATTTCAGAGGATACTATGTTATGAAGCAATTCCTAAGCAGCATGCCATGGGAAAGGGAGCTAGAAGGAAAGGCTACCAATGAAATGGAGTATGTAGATGGAAAGAAATGAGCAAGAACAGAATGAGCCCCACAGCTCATACAGAGGTAAAGGGAGGTAAAAGCTAAAAATGCAAGAATATGGAACACACACAGGAAGCAAAAAATGCCAGAGGATAGGGAAGCAAGCAGAAAAACCAGAAATGAATGTGTGTGAGCAAGAGAAGCTGAACAACAATTTGAGAATGACATAGCATCAAAAACCAAATTGAAGCAAAAGCTGGTGTACAGCCACATCAGAAGGAAGATAACCAAGGGGCAAGGTAATGAGGGTGAAGGAATGACCAGGAAGTCTGAAGAGCTGAATGAACGGTTTAGGGAGGTATTCTCAGTGGAATCAGGAACACTGCCAGGGTCCACGAGTGCTTCAAAGAGTACTGTACACAATACAGACAACAGAACAGGTGAAGAAAACAATGAGTGAACTAGTTACCTCTAAGGTGATGAAACCAGACAAAAATCTATCTGGGTTCTGCAAGAGAGGAGAGGAACTGTGTGAACCATTGGTAGCAGTCTTCAACAAATTATTTGACCCAGGGCAGCTGCAGCAGTCTGAAAAACAGTGAATGTAGTCCCAGTACAGCCTCTCCTCACTTAACGATGGAGTTCCGTTCCTACGATCATGCCGTTAACCGAATTCGTCGCTAAGTGAGTAGTGAGTTTGTATCAACCGTCTTTGATATTACTTTAATGTCACTTTTGCACCATCTATAATATTCCTGGTATATTTTTAAATGTTTATACAGTATTGTTCTGTATATTGATATAAACAGAATAGAGGAAATTAGCTCTAATATACATTATTTAGGTATGAATACTGGTCAGAAAGCCCATCATAAGGCTGAGGCATCAGTAAACGAGTATGCAGCTAAGTGAGGAGAGGCTGTATTCAAAAAAAGGCAATAGACAGGTGGCACTAAACAACAGGCCTGTGTCAAAAACATAATAGTTTGTAAGGGTATGGAGAAGATTATGAAGAAAATAGTGGAGCACTTGGAAAGGAGTAGATTCATAAACCATCAGCATTGTTTTCAAGATAAATCCTGTCTTGCAAATCTTTTAGAGTTCTATGATAAGGTAAGGAAATGACCTAGATAGTGAAGTGGTAAAGACAGAATTCATACAGTTTTATTAGGTACGAGGGCTCAAAGCCAGGAGTGAAACTAATAATGGCCAGCAGAAGTCTGGCCAGAAGCTAAGACTCTACCCCTGCAACCACAAGTAGTTAAGTACAATTAGGTGAATGCATGTACGTGCATATACAAATGTGCATGTACTTGTACACGTACATGCACACACATTAAGTAGCAGTGTCGTCAGGCCTGACGACACTGGAGGACAGGAGGGTCAGGGGAGACATGATAACGACATGTGAAATACTGCGCAGAATAGACAAGGTGGACAAAGACAGGATGTTCCAGAGAGGGGACACAGAAACAAGAGGTCACAATTGGAAGTTGAAGAGTCAGATGAGTCAAAGGGATGTTAGAAGTATTTCTTCAGTCAGAGTTGTCAGGCAGTGGAATAGCCTAGAAAGTGACGTAGTGGAGGCGGGAACCATACATTGTTTTAAGACGAGGTTTGATAAAGCTCATGGAGCAGGGGGAGAGAGGACCCAGTAGCAACCAGTGAAGAGGCAGGGCCAAGAGTTAAAACTCGACCCCTGCAACCACAAATAGGCGAGTACATTAAGTAGCAGCTAAACTGATTCACAATGTATATACAATTAGTGAAATACTTTCTATAGTTTCCTCATTTTAACCATGATCATGTAAACAGATGGAGGAGAGGATCTATAAATATTGCTTACATCACCACTCAGGCAGGAAACCACCTATTTACTCTGCACTTCTGAAACCTTGCAATTCCAACAATTAAAGCTTTAATACAGAGTACACTTCCAATCATATAAATGGCACTACAGTATTCATTATAATTGGAGAATTCCACTACTAATGTCAATTTAAAATTTAAATTATAAGTACAGAAATATGATTGACATTAGTGGAGTCCCACTTAAAATTTTGACAATCAGAACCTGGGACTTTTGAGGTGATAAACAATTTGCATTCAAACATCTCCAGTATCCTAACATTTCAGTCCTGATGATGCAGAGGATGTGAAAACAGTGCATGTATTGACTTGTGCCAGTAACAGCTAATTTAGTGTTTAGACCTGTGACTAATATTAATTTATAAATATGCAACATTATTTGTTTCTTCACAGGATATTAAAGTGCTGCAGGTGTCGAGTGCCAATGTAAAAAATTTTTTTTTTTTACTCATCTAAGAGGACTGAATATACACCCCTGTTTTATATGTGGGATTAAGAAAAAATCCAAGCATATCTTGTTCCCCATCTCATGATCCAGGTTGATTTATGGCCAGTAGCATATAGCAAGAGCTGTACTATACGTTTACTGGATACTTTTTCAAGGGTAACTAGAAACTTACTTAGTTATACAAAATGCAGATAAATTTTCATACAAGTAATCTTTATCACTAATGTTTTAATTCAGTGTTCTTCACAGTCTAATTCAGTGTTCTTCATAGTCTATCTGTAAAATGTTTAGATTTATAGTGTTCTTCCTAGATTATAACCAAGCATGCTTAACTTTGCAATTTTCTTCCTAGTCTATCACTAAAATGTTTTGAGAGAATTTCCGAATTAGGACAAGAATTTTCTCAAGAAAATACATTACAGTACCAACAGATAGACAAGTGAACAAGAGCAACCATATAAATATACAAGTTGGTGCTATAACACAGGATGCATGACAATTATAAAACAATGAAAAAATCTATACAAACTTCATAAAATTAGATTATGTAAAATGTACAAAGACTTCAATTATATTATTCTCTCTTATAAGATACTACTTTGTCCCGATACAAAAGCAGAGCAATACATTTTGCTTCAAGTAATTCATCAATACACTGTTGTACCATACATAATCGAAATTTTACATGTAACGTTGTGTTAAGCCACATGTACAGTATTACTTTGTACTGTACAATAAAAATACTTCTTTGATTAATGCTCATTGAAAAACTTAATTTTCTACTGTATAGCTACTAATCTAACGGAGAGTTACACAATGTGAAAAACAACAACAAATGTGACGCTGATGCTGGAAACTGTTGCACTGGATAACTGTCCAACATAATTAAGATAAAAAATACCATGCATGAATTATTCAGTCTGTAATATGGTAGTTACACAGTGTTACTGTATCTGAAACAAAAGCATTAATTCAGCACTATATCAGGTGAAATTATAGTCTTCTCTTAACAAGTACAAAGTCAATTACATGTTCACAACACAAACCTGGCACCCTTGAGCCCAGGTACCTTACACAAGTCATGTACTATACTAAATTATGATTAAGACTTAACCAAATAAAATGCTTCTACAGCAACAATTTTATGTTTGTATTTAGGAATATAAAACAATAAATATTTTTTTGAACAATATATACATTTCAGCAATAGCAACAATAAGCCTTTAACACTTCTATGAACATAATTTTTTTATTATTAGCTGAATCTGTTTGGAATCCATTCTTTCCCTAATATTTTGCACTAATAAAGAGTTCTCCCTAACAGTAACATCTTCCAAAAACCTTCTCAACAACAACAAATCTTTTTCAGACAGAAAATTGTTAATTTTTGAGGTTTTATTGCATGGCTGTGTTAATTTGTAATCTATGTGAGATATCTGATTGTACTTCTGATTTTTCTTATAGCTCTTCTTAGAGGAAGATATAATCTGAGTATTTTTTTTATGTTCAGTGAGAAAATTATCTCGCGGCAAACTAGAGGTATAAAACATGCTGCTTGTTGTCCAATACTCTGCAGTACTTGACTGGATCGAGTCCAGCATGCTGAGCTGCAGTGCCATGCACAATCTGTTCTGAATATCTTCAAGCTTTACACAATCCAAAGATGACCATGAAGCAATTGTTTCCTTGAACTTACCTGAATGACATTTTAGGGGTGCTGTTTGAATTAATGTAAGAGAGGACAATCTCTCTTCAACAGCCACAACCTCATCCTCACTCAGATTGAGGGTAATTGTTGATAAATCCTCAACAAGTAGTAATAATGCATCCAGGACTTTTAACATTTCGGGAAATATTAAAGATGCATTGTGGTGCCCATGTTTCCAGGAAATGTATTTTAACAAGAGATTTACGTATTTGTTCCTTAGGATATCTACCTTATCCATTTCTTGGATAAGTTTCTTAATTGGAGTGTACATAAGAATGCAATTTGTAATAACTCCAATTGGCCAATCAAAACCCAATTTAGAAGCTACCATATTCAGTTCAAAGAGCCTGTTGACCAGGTACTGAGGGTACACTTTAAGTAAGTCTGAAACATGTACAACAGGGTGGTTAATTCTACTAGTTGAACCTGGAATATACCAGCATCCTGAGTCTCTATTGAAAAGGTACAACCCAGCACAACACACTGCTCTCAATGAGCATCCATTCAGCAGTGCAATTTGATCTGGTAAAGTAAGATTCAAAAAATCTTCATTTTTGAAAACAAAGAAAAATTGCCTTATAACAGCATTCAAGTGAATATCCATATAATCCAGTGGGGTGAAACCTTTATTTTTATACAATGTATCTGGTAAACTAATATTTAACACTGCATCAGAAAGACTCTTAATCATGTGATTAATATGACCAATTTCATCAGGCTCTAGATAATCATGTATATTTGTATTTGATTTTTCAGGTACATATGGAGTGAGAACTGGCTGTTTAATTGTCTTTAGAAGTGTGTCCAAATCTGGCAGCTGACCATTCTTATCAAGATACCTACTACTACTGTTTTCGTCTGCATCAGAATCTTGTGAACCACACAAACTGGACTCGCTATGCACTGGCTCGGAAGATATCGATTCATTACTTGCATACCTTCGACTTCTTTTGTTACCAATTTTATATGAGATTTTTCTCTCTTGCTGAATTTTCATGTGAAGTGTCTCCCTTCTTCTAGAATGTACATCTTGGTTTGAAGCTTCATCTACTAGTTCTTGGTGTGCCATGTAAAAGGGATCTTCTGCCCTGAAGAAAAAAATACTTGATAAATGTATTACAGTATTTGTAGTTCAAGAACATTATTTATACTTTGCATAATGTGCTAAACCCTTGGGGGCTAATTAGCTTACACAGTAGCAGAAGTTCAATCTTCTGTCTGCTGTGAAAGACTATTTGTCATCATGTAGCTCACTGTTGCTCAAGAAGGCCAAGGATTAAGTGAAGCAGGGTAACATTTATGAAGGGATTCAGGGAAACCGGCAAGCCGGACTCGAGTCCTGGAGATGAGAAGTACAGTGCCTGTGCTCTGAAGGAGGGATGTTGATGTTGCAATTTTTTTAAACTGTAGTGTAAGAGCATCTCTAGCAGGACAGTGATGGGGAGAATGATGATGAAAGTGTTTCTTCTTTTTTGGGTCACCCTGCCTTGATGGGAAACTGTTGATGTGTTAATAAAATAAATACAGTGGAACCCCGAGTTTCGAAAGCATCAACTATCAAATGCTTAGAATTGACCGCTTTTTTCACACCAATTTTGTCCTGAGTATTGAAAATATCCCACGTTTCAAACCTCATACCAGACCTGTCCATGTTCCCCGCGCACGTGTCATGAGCCAGTCTGGCTTTGTTTATGCTTGAGTGAACACTAACCTGTGTGCTCATTTAAACATTTCACAATTCATTGTGTTTGATTATTATTATTATAATCAAAAAGAAGCGCTAAGCCACAAGGGCTATACAGCGCTGCAGGGTAGGGAAGGAAGCGAGGGTATTGGATGGCAGAAGGGAGGAGGGATGATCAGTAGGTTACAGAAAACAGCGGGGCAGGGGATAGTACGGGGGTAGAGGGTAGCAAGAGATTGAAGTAGAAAGGGTTGAAGGTATCAGAATTTGTGAAGTTAGTTAGTTGTCAAAAAGTCAATGAGAGAGTCCGGATGAAAGGTGGGTCCATCAGCGAGAAGGGAAGGTAAAGAGAGAGTAGAGCGAAGACGACGACGGAGGTAAATTCTGCGTGCTCGTTGATAAAGTGGGCAGTCCAACAGAATGTGGCTGACTGATAATGGAGCCTGGTGATAAGAAGACAGCCAGTAACCCATACTTGATTTAATAGATTGAAGTTTGTTGCTGAGCATAGTAGACCAACGTTGTTGCCAACGGGTGTGAAAGTGGGAAGATATTGCAGCAAAATAGTCCGTAAATGGAATACCTCTATATGAAACTGGTAGGTCATGTACTGCTGACCGCGCAGCAGTGTCTGCCTGTTCATTGCCCTGTACTTCAACATGACGAGGGACCCAACAAAAAACTATCTTTATGCTTGGTAAAGATGCGGCATAGCCAAAGTTGGATACGGAGGACTAAGGGGTGAGGTGTATCAAATTTTTGTATAGCCTGTAAAGCACTAAGGGAGTCTGAGACAACCACAAATGATGACACAGGCATAGAAGCAATACGGATAAGTGCTGCAAGGATGGCAAATAATTCAGCAGTAAAAATACTAGCCGAAGATAGTAAATGCCCTATTACGACGCTGTCCGGAAACACTGCTGCGAATCCTACGCCGTCAGAAGACTTAGAGCCATCTGTGCAATATATTCAGAGATTGCTTCAAGTGTTTCGGAATTCAGAGACGTCGTATGGGAGACAATACTGGAAATGGTAGGGGGAGGATGAGTAAAGATTGGAACTGTATTGGACTGTACCAAGGTAGGGGGGGGCGAAAGGGTGGAGGGAACTGGAGAAGCGTGGAAGGGGACAGAAGAGGCAGAAACCTGGGAGGTGGCAGAAGAGGAAGAAACCTGGGAGGGAACAGGGGAGGAAGGTACAGTACGAGGAGGGTGGCGAACCTCTACACTTGTAACAGAGCCAGTGAGAGGGGGAGAACCAGGGACAGAGACAGGGAGGGTAAAATGAGGAGGTGGAAGATGGGTAGGAGGTGTTAACGGACCTTTTTTTGACTTTTGAGAAGTAGAGGGACGATTGGGAGGAGGTGTCATACGAGATCTCGTCGTTACTGAGGCTTGTGAGAGAACACGAAGAAGCGAGATCAGACTGAGGCGTTGAAGTAGGGACGTCTGAGCCGAGGACAGCAAAAGGATTAGATACAGGAGTGACTATGGGAGAGGTAACCACAGAGGTGGGTGTAGAAGATGGGATACCAGAAGTGGGGGGACATTTTGAAACACGGGAATAAGAAACACATGGGAGTCGGAGATGAGAAACTGCCATGGCATAAGGGAGACCTTCTGTCTCTTTGAGGTAACGGATTTCCCGCTCGTTTAAATAGACTTGACAACGGCGAGAGTACGAAGGGCGAGCCTCATGACAGTTAAGGCAAGAGGGAGATCGATTGCAAGACGTATGAGAATGGTCATCGGCACCACAGACTGGGCATTCGGCGATAGATCTGCAATATTTCGCTGGATGGCCAAATCGCCAGCAATTTCTACACTGTTGCGGTGTAGGGATCACCTTTCGGACTTGTAACCGATGTCCTGCTATATAAACTGAGGATGGGAGTTCTCGGCTGTCAAAAGTTAAACGAGCCACATTGCTAGGGTATCGTCTCCGCCCGCGGGCAGGAAGAACGTAAGTGTCTACCTTGAGGATTGGGAGATCTTGGAGTTCCAGCTGTTCAAGAATGTCAGTGCCCACATGTCTGGAAATTTTGTTGAACTATGGTATGGGGCAGAATGACGGTACCACTACAAGAATTGAGGGAATGATGTTTTTCAAGAGTGACAGGAACAGTATCGATATGGGAAAGACGAGAGAGCTCATGAGCCTGGGTAGCATTCTGTACGGTGATGATGCGCGTACCGCTCTTAAGAGCATGAAAAGAAATATCTTTACCAACATGGCGTAGGAGTGCCTTGCCAATACTGTGGTCAGAAAGATAGGCAGTAGAGGAAGTCGGTCGTAAAGTGAAGAATTTAGTCCATTGTTCAGTCTGAAACTGAACGTGGAAAGGTAGTGAAGGACGTGTCGATCGTTTCTGAGAAGAACAAGAAGGTGGAGAAGTATCATCAGCAGGTAATTGTCGTTGGCATTTAGGCGTGGGACCAGAGTTGGTCCGACGTGGAACGGGTCGGCGATTTGAAAATTGCTGCACCGTAGAGGGAGAGGCCGGAAGCATAGTCAGAGGTGAGCGAAGGTCTGATAAATCGAAGGAGTCAGTCGAGGCCTCAGTACCTGAAGCGGGTGAGGAAACAGCACCGGCAAGAGGTACAGAGGCATGAGGAGTGTCTGAAGAGTGGTCCAAAGACGAGGCGGGGTCAGAACAGGGTGCGGTATCAAGAAGGGGCCCGGGGGTAGGAGGTTCATGGACTAGGGCTGCCATGGTTAGGTTACTTCTTTCTTTTTGTTTTTAAGAAAAAAAAAAAAAGAAAATAAAAATAAAAAAAAGAATAAAAAAAAAAAAAGGGGGACCGGGGAGGGATAGTTCCTAGGAGGAATGAAAGGGCCAGAAATCTCCCTCCGTGCCCAAGAGGACCTCAGCACCGCAAGTAGCGCAGATGCAGCATGGAACCCTTGCCATACCCTACCCATCATGCTAGTAAACTAACAATCCGGGATAGCAACCTCACATCTGCTGAGCTACCTCGGTGGACAAAAGAGAGGGCAGCCGGATATCCGCCACAAAGCATACCTCCTTTGGCCACCACCCCCGGAATCCGAAATGTGGCTTCCAGAGATACACCCGTCGCCCGAAAGACACCCAAAGCTACTCCGGGATACCGGAGAGAGATCGGGACATCCCCAGGCGATCCAGATTCCACGGCAAACTACGCCACCGCCAAGAACCTCAACGGAATGGGATGGACCCCGGTATCCTTTCCCCTACCTAGGAACTAGCGCGCCTGTGGGAGAAATCCCAAAGGCCGAAAAGAGGAAGGGCAAAAGGGAGGGGTGGGGAGGAGGAGGAGGAAAGGAAAAAGGGGAGGATGGGGAGGATGGGATAGGGGAGGGGAGATTGGGGGGTAATTAGGTTCGGTCTGAGGAAGAAGACCAACAGGTCTAATTCCTCAGACCAAGAGCCTCTTCACCATGCCAAGGAGCCCCCCCTTGAAGAGGGGGAGGGAGTGTAGCATGGAGGGAGGGAGTGTAGTAGGAAAACGGAGTGTGGAAGGGAGTATAGAAGGCAGGGAGAGAAGCAACCCCAGAGGGGGCTTTGATACCAGAAGTCCTTATGGAGGGGGAGTCCCCTTCCAAACAATCAGTCTTCCCTCTCTCTCCTCCATAAGCCAACAAGAGTTTTCAATAAAGGTATGTAATAGTGATTTAAATGTTCCTTTATTTATTTTATTTAGTTCTAATTGTTTTGTTTATTTTTTTTATTAACACATCGGCCGATTTTCAAGGTAGTACGTTGGTAAACAGCAACCGCCCAGGGAGGTACTACCGTCCTGCCAAGCGAGTGTAAAACGAAAGCCTGTAATTGTTTTACATGATGGTAGGATTGCTGGTGTCCTTTTTTTCTGTCTCAAACATGCAAGATTTCGGGTACCTCTTGCTACTTCTACTTACACTTAGGTCACACTACACATACCTATACAAGCTTTATATATCCCAACACACCCCTCTGGGTTTTCTGCTATTTTCTTTCTATTTCTTGTTGTTGTTTAGTTCCTCTTATCTCCATGCGAAAGTGGAACAGAATTCTTCCTCCGTAAGCCGTGCGTGTTGTAAAAGGCGACTAAAAAGCGGGAGCAAGGGGGCTAGTAACCCTTTCTCTTGTATAAATTACTAAATTTAAAAAGAGAAACTTTCGTTTTTCTTTTTGGGCCACCCTGCCTTGGTGGGTTACGTTGGTTTTTTTGAGAGAGAGACAGAGACAGAGGGAGAGGGAGAGAGGGAGAGAGAGAGAGAGAGAGAGAGAGGACAGAGAGAGAGACAGAGAGAGACAGAGAGACAGAGACAACAGACAGAGAGACAGAGAGAACAGACAGAGAGACAGAGAGACAGAGAGGGGAAGACAGGAGAGACGAAAAGAGAGACAGAGAGAGAGAAGAGAGAGAACAGAGAGAGAGACAGAGGAGACAGAGA